AGACATGCTCTCTTGGTACCCAGAGTCGCGCCTGCAAGCGCAAGGCCTCCAGCCGCAAGGACTCCTTCTTTACGGGGATTAGGGGCCCATCTCAAAGGCGATTAGGGTTTAGGGTTTAGCGTTTAGGGGTTTAGGGTTTAGGGGTTTAGGGTTTAGGGTTGTGTATAGGGATATCTAAGGCATGTAGGACTTTGGGGATTTTTCAAAATTAGGGGCACCAATTTGGGCTGGGGGATCACCATAATAAGGGTGTTTTGGGGTTCATATTTGGGTCCCACCTGTATGGAAACTACCATTGAAACTAACAATGACATGGCAGCTTTACTACATCTCCATGTTGTGGTAACCCATTTCAAGTTCCTTGGCAGCAACTCAGTTTATGGGAACTTCCAGATCGTTTGTGGTATTTGGGGTAGTAAGCAGAGAGATGTCCACCTTGACTTGCAACTTCATAGGTTGAGACAAAGAAATCCTGCATGAAATGTGGGGAATTATAGTCCCCCTAAAGTAGATAGAATATGGCTTTGGGTATATTATAGTAAGATCCCCATATACCCCATATTCTATCTACTTAAGGGGGACTATATGGTACCATAGTATACTGAGGTCCTTTAGGATGCTTCGTGGGTAGCTCTCTAAATGAGGGTCCCATTTTGGTACCCCTAAACAGCAGGTGCCGTAACATAATCCTTAACCCAAAAAGGGCCCATAATTTTGAGAACAACCCAATAAAACCCATTATAATAATCCTTAACCAAACCCTAAACCCTAAACCCTAAGGGCCTAGTATCAACCTTAGCGCTGCGAGATGGCTTGCAGGCTGTTGTCCTCTCTGGGCAGTAGGCCGCCGGCGCTGTGGGAAAACCTAGGGGAGACGAGCGGCTCCACGTGGGGGGTAGGTATGGAGATCTACTCCTTCGTTTCCCCTTGCTTACCTGTAGTCTCCTTAGACCCATAAGGAAAATCATATCTTCTACATTTCCTTAGGCTTATACTATAACAAAAGTTAAAACAATTCCTAAGGACAGTACACTTACTAGTATGTGGAGCTTCATTTCCTAAGGATCGCACTTGCAGGCTGCACCTTTGGTACACCGCCCCAGCTGGAAGTAATGGCACGGCGGAATCAACTGGGCGAGCGGATCAGGTTCAGTTCGTCAGCAAAGCAGAAATGTCCTGACTGGAGGAGCAAGCCCCAGTACCTTCCAGATCTTTTTGCCTCTCAGCAAAACTGTGCCTGAAACCGGGAGCCTCTCAGATTAGATTGGCTGTCCAAAGTTAATGTTCAAAACGTTTCAAAACTGTCTTCAGCTGGACTTCTTCTGAGAGGCAGGAGCATTAAAGTCGTCAACCGGCACTTCGCATCGACGGGCAGCGATGCAGGTTTTGGGAGGGCATACCAGCGTGCCGGGACAAACATTTGCAGGACATTGCGGAGACAGCAATCTCTGCCTCACATGTCCAGTTATACGAGACCTGCCTTCTCTCCTCAGTCCATATCTGACTCCTCATCAGCCATTCCACGAATGTACCTGAGAGCCACAAGCATGCGGTCACAACTATCTATGCAGTTCGGATCTCACTAGGAAGCCCAGGATGCACTGAGACTGTTCAGGAAGCCTAACAGTCTCTTTGTCCCCCAGGGCTCCATTGGTCCCAAAACAGCCTCTATGTATCTCCCAATGAAGCCTTCGGCATACATGGGGTTTCCAAATTAGGGGACCTTTGTTGTGAGTCCTTGTAGTTGGGACTCATATCTACATTTGTGTATATAACTACATATTACAATGATATGTAAGATATACATATTATATATATATACACGAATGTTGGGGTCTATGTTAGAGCCCCTATCTTTGGAAACTCCCTCGTAAACTCCTTTCTAATGATCCTCCCCGCACGATTCATAGTAAGCGCTTAACTTCCATGTATTTGTCAAGATTTGTCCCTCAAGAAACTTTGAACCAAAATGCTAAAGCTGGCTTTAGAAACGCGATCGCCGCAAGGCACGCGAAAGTTAAGAACATGCAAGGCGCGCTCTCCAGCCATTGGTTTCAGGAAATTAGATCATTCCGCTAGGACGTAGTCTGCCTTTACATATCCTGTCAAAAAAACAGAAGAAGCATGGATCCCAAAGCACCGTACCTGCATACTCCCTACACTGCACCCCAGTCAAAAGGGGGGTACCCTGAATCCTAAATCCCTGAGCCCCAACAAGGGTCACCCCCACGAACCCTGCCCGCGGAGGGAGTTAGGGGAAGCCTGGACCCAAGGCTGAAACTCCATCCCATCCCCAAACCCATAAACCCAGATGCCTCCAGCCCCAGCCCCTTGTCCCGTAATCGCAAATTACAAACCAACCCCAAAACTGAGATGCAAAGCCCTTAACTTAAACTTTATCCCCAAACCCTAGAACAGAAAACAGTAGATTTCATTTCCTTTTCCAAAAGCTCTGATCCCTATACATTCCCAATATAATAACCTAGAACCCGCAGTAAATAAACTCGGCCCGGTAGCAGAACGTTGTTGCATCGGATGAAAACCTCGCCCAGGTTGCCGCGGAAGCTGCCGTCAACCCACTCCTGCCAGCTTGTGGGAACCCTTGAGGGCTCATATAGGAGTAAAATTGGCCATATGTTGGCATAATGGAAAAGAAAATGGAAATTACTATTTAGAGTTTAGGGGTTTAGGGCTAGGGTTGCCATCATTTTTTGGACCTTTTCTCCGAGAATGATCCTGGCGATGCTTTTCGGCAATGTGCGGACTCCCAGCTTGACATTTTAATACCGAGCAAACACCCCAGAGCAAGCACACACTTCCTTACAAGATTTAGGGTTGAGGGGTCGAGGGTTTAGCGATTAGGGGAGTAGGGTCTTTCAGGGTTTAGGGTTTAGGGTTTAGAGTTTTTGGGGTTTAGGCCTTGGGGGAGCTTTAGGGTTGAGGATCTTGGGCTGCTGCAGCTACTTCTCTTCTGATGAGCAACCCTAAGCCATAAACCCCTAAACCCTAAATAGTAGCTTCCATTTTCTTTTCCATTATCCCAACATATTGTCAACATTGCTCCTATATATCCTCTATGTAACTCCAAGGGGCCCTAAACCCTAGAAATGACTGCTTGCTGCCTCTGTGTTGAGCAGCTGGAGATTCATGTACGGGTCAATGGACTTCAGGGTGCCTTTGTACTCCATACCTGAGACAAGCATGTTGGCAGCACGTGAGACAGAATGGCCTCAAGTCTACTCAAGAACTCTGGAATGTGCATAGGATACTTGAGTGCATTGTGTCCGGTAGAGTCGCCATGCAATGCCCTAAAGCCTAGACCCTAAACCCCAAATAGTAATTTCTATTTTCTTTTACATTATCCCAACGTGTCCCCAACACATCCTTATATAACCGCTATATAGACCCTATAGTTTTCATTTTCTTCTCCAGTGTCGCAATACATCCCCAATATTACCCCCATGCATCCCGTTTTTTTCTCCACAAGCAGTCTGCGGCTTCATGGCTGCAGCTGTAGACTATCTAAATGGACACCTGGGCAACACATGATTGACAACATCTTAAATGTAGCTCACGACGATGTGCTGAAAAACCCTCCGAGATGCCCCATTTCAGCTTGGTAAGAACGAGCTTGCCTCAGTTGTGGGCAGAGCTGCAAGTGGCTAAAGCCTTTGATGCAGTTTAAGCATGTTGTGGCACTACGGCGAACAGCTTTCAGCCATGGTGCCCGTGAGGTCATTCAGGAAGGGCTTCGGATTCACTGGCACGGTCGCCATGGTGCCAGGCTGTTTGCTAACGAGGTACAGTCTTCAGCAATGGAGAACAACATGGCCGCAGCAGGTGCGATTATTGGAAATCCTGAAGACACTTTATGAAGTCTGAAAGACTCCCACCTTGGAAAAGCAACACTGAAGGGCTAATTCCAGGGAATGAAACAATCTACAAACCTTCTACCCAATCCCTCATACAGACGTTACTTCTGGCATAGGAGCCTCCAAAACAACAAAGGGGCCACAGTCTGACCCCCTGATATGAGCTATAATCCAAACTTCGAGTATCCCACTTAATAACCCTCGTAATACTCCCCAAAAATCCCTTATACAACCCCCTTTGAGCAGTTTAGACTACAGTTCATATGCCATTCTCTCAAAATAATCTTTGTTCGTAATGTACTTCAGAAGGAGATCCCCGGACCCTCCTTGCAATCCGCACTTGTCCTAGAGTCCCCAGAAGGGTACGCCCCATTTGGGTTGCAACTAAACTCTAAAGCCTAAACGCCAAACCGAAAAAATGTCGAAGCTACAAACCCTTAACGCTGAACGGTACACTTACGGTAGCCTGAAACTCAGCCTGAAGCTCTGAACTTTTTTGTATCGTGCACAACCAGTGAACTACAGTCAATGTTTCCAATATACTAATATATTCGGGACAATGCTGAACAACCTCAAAGGGACACCTACTTCTACCACTAATGATGATCCCTTGATGTCCCTTGATGACCTCAGTCTTGACAGTAGCTCAAAGAAGCCCTGAGCCCAAATACAGTACATATCCCCAAAGCCCCCCATATAACTCCAAATATGGACAGTAGCTGATATGAGGAGACCAGGGCAACCCGCTCCCAGCTTGCTCGCCATCTGCTCCTCCGCGCTCCGAAGGCGGATGGTGGGACAGCTGTCACCTGTCAAAATGGGAGCTTCTCAGCTTCAAGAACCAACAAAACAGGACTGAATGCTTTTAGAATATTATGGGTTATATGGGGTAATGTTGGGATAATGGAAAATAAAATGGAAACTACTACAATGGGTTATATAGGGTATATCTTACCCATTATAGTAGTTTCCATTTTACTTTCCATTATCCCCATATTACCCCTATATAACCCCTATATAAGCCCTATAATCCCTATAGTTTCCATTTTCTTTTCCATTATCCCAATATTACTCCATATAACCCATAGTATAGCAGCAGCAAGCGTCTCCGCTTCTTTTCCCCCCATCTCAGAGCTTTGATAGCTCTCGCCGAGCTTCCGCAATCACGCCCTCTTTCAAAAGATTGTCCACCTTCAACGTCACTTTGCAACATGCTTTGCTTCCTGCTGCTTACAACCTGAGCTTGCAGCCTCGGATTTCGAGAAGCAGTTTTCCAGCAGCACCTGACTTGAGTTAGCTTCATAACAATGATGCGGGTAGCCTGATCCGGATTCTTCCGATCCGCCGGCCAACATTTGCTGCTACACGAATTGTAGACGACAACGGTGTAATCAACCATCATGTGAGAAGGCGCAGGATGCGCAGGTACCTAATACACTTATGACATGCTCATGTATAAATGCTGTTGTGATAGTTTGGATCGAGGGGGCGTTGCAACCACGACA